GGGTACTGGTTGGGAAACCTGAAGGGAAGAGACCGCTGGGGAGACCTAGACGTAGATGGGAGGATAATCTCAGGCGGGATCTATGGGAGATAGGAGTTGAAGGAGACTGGATTTTGTTGGAGGGCTTTGGTTAATTCGGTGATGAACCTTCGGGTTCGGTAAGCCATCTAGTTAGCTAGCGATAACTAATGAATTACTGGATATTGCTATGTGAAATTTTGTATGGAAGAGAAGCATAAACTATATACACATTTTGCATGAAATAATGTTTACATGTAAGCGATTACAAACATTGAGACAATGCGAAAAATATCGTGCAACAAATTTTAGGGAAACTATATGTATTATGGTAAGTTAATCCAAAATTATAATAACAATTGACCCTAATAATAGTTATAGCATTCTTTAGCTTATTTTGAATTACTATCAGCAAGTTAATAAAAATGTTACCCGGGGGGATTCGATAGTATGACCATCTGCGCTAGAGCACAGAAAGCCAAGTCATGAGGGAGTGCCTAGAGGAAACGATTGCAGATTGCCAGATACGACTGACACTTGGCATTTTGTTGTTGGGTTCACTATACACATATCTGCACAGCCTGCACGAGCACATGGAAATTAAATATTACTTTAGGGAGGTTATCAGGGCAATCGCTATACGACTCTGAATTCGCATGTCTCGTAATCCAAAGGCGTTTTCGATATGTGCATATAAATAGGATAATTAAAAGTGCCGAGGGACAAAGAACGTGTGTGGGGAAGTATGTTCTCAGTTAAGGATTGCTCCTTTCCAGTTTTCTTTGCCTGTGGACTCATTTTTGATACCTTAATTATTCATCTTATCGAAATATATTTAAAGTAGTAGTTACATATATTGATGGGATCTACATTTTGTGACTCGACACTATATGGTCTGAGCTGCTGAAAACGTCAAGTAAATAATAAACAAATATATTTTATGTTGTGATAAGTATTTTTATGATGATAACATTTTTTATTAAAAAGGATCAGTTCGATTTGTTTATTATATAAAGTAGCCCTTGTGTTGAGGTTAGGCTATTGGAAACTAGATACTGAAGATCTCCAGTTACAAGATGTAATCAAAATCTGTTCATCAATTTCACAGATGAAACATTTGACCATACCAGCATAACATTTTTCTGTGAGTTTCTCATATTTACTTTATGCAAGGAAAGCACACTACTTCAAACTTAAGACACATAGTTATACTGTGTAATGACTGAAAACACCACATTTGGAAAAGAAGAACTCTTTATTATCTTAATTATAATTTTTCGCTTTGCACGTAACCTTCTCTTTTGCAAGCAGCACGTGTGAGTGCAAAGCATTTCGTCTATGGAATATATCCCAGCAGAAGTATGAAGTATGATAATAATGTGGCCACAAAGAAGATGAAGTCGAGAAGTGACGTAAACAGAATCCAGTTGGGCCTTGGGGTACCATCCTCACCTCCAGATGTATCTTTTACTGAACCAGCATTCTGTAAACAGGGCACAAACGTGTATTTGTCACTCTGAATTGCAAAATACGAGCGTGGTTCAGTTGGGTAATAGCTTTAGCACTAATGCCTTGCAAAATACGGGCGTGGTTTAGTTGGGTAATAGCTTTAGCACTAATGCCTATTTTAAATGACACCACTATTTTCATATACACAGCTATACCAAAGGCTGTAGGACATTGTTATGTTAGGAGATTTAATTTTCGCAAAGGGGAGATCATTGCCCAAGTTGACGCCAATATTTGCTCGTAAAATTCATCGCGTTAAACGTACCTTTTGACCTAAGATCTGAAAAATGAACACCTGACCAAACCAGTTATGCAGGACCCAACTGGTAAAAGCAGAAGCCCACAGAGGAAGATTCATAGTTGTCGCCCTCAGAGATGGTACAATAACAGCTGTTAACAGCGTCATGGCTGCCAGGAACATGGAGTCCCGATAGAAAGTCACTGTCAGAAAATCGATAAAGAAATTTTCTTATTAAAAAGTGAACTCGGAATGTACAATGTTAACTTCAAGAGGAGCTAGATCTTGAGAAATGTTCCTCGGTCAAAAGCCCAGTGGGCATTTGATGAACACACAGCGAGCCCGGGATATTTTCCACTGCCTCTGTTAGTTAAATGTTATTAAAACGATTTATGAAGGATGTTTGAAATAACTGTTTGAGGTAGTGAATTCTTACCCATAAGAGGAGTCTGGTCACCGTTTGCTGGTAGAAGACTCCCCAAGTGCTGGAGGAAGAGGATGTGAGAGAGGACATTCACAGCTGACAACATCAGCCGATCCGTCTCACTAGGTTCCATCCAGAACGTCACCAGCGTCAGTACCATCAACACTGCGGCATTCATTATATACATACATGCATACAGGCATTATATAGCCCACAATTTCAGGAAAATTTAGCATATGAACTCCATTTATCTCTTGGAAGTGTTAAAATAGTTCTTGTAAACGGGTCAAGACAGGTTTCTTCAAAATCATTATCTATCCATCTCGCCGATAATAGTCTTCTGGGTTGTAATGATGTGTTGACTGGTAGATGCCAGCGTTTCGGAGAAACATGCTGTCTCCATGTTTAGGGTTGCCAGTATATTCCTCCGAAACGTTGGTACTCACCCAGAATTCCACACGGCTTAACAGCTCAGGAGATCAACATCAATAACCGGGGTGGTTACTAATTGACAATAAAGCTGTCTATTTGGTATGTACAGGACTTCTTCTTCTTATATATATATTTGCGCAGCTACGACAGTAAATAACAGAATGTATATATCATGTGACATCTTTTCATTTTTCACATTTAGAACCTAACCTAACAAGTAAAAATACGTAATTCAGTGTTTGTAATGTCAGTTGAATTTGTTGAAAGGATAAAGGGTATTGTTAGTATTTATATTGTTTCTATTTATGTATTTATGTCAAATGGCAGGTACATAGAATTTCATCTTTGACCCATATTTTGCCAAGATTGTAGACTACTTTGCCGTCAGAGAAGTTTTTGAAGTTTGTTAAATGTGTATATGTGTTCAGGAGATTGCGAAGAACGAGTATCGTTTCTCTCGTACGCAAAATTGACAGACTTCGATATATCGAAAGTTTTTACTTAAGTAGAGTCGTTTTCCTCTGGATGTCATGTGTCGATGTGTGATTCTTGATACCGGTTCGCATTCAAAACTCATGGACAGACATATGGACATGACAACAAAATAAATATATTTTAGGCTACCTATAAAATAAGGAAAATATGCTAAAATGGAAGATAGTTCTGTAGGATTCCAGGTTTTCACGGCGGTGAGTCTGAAGATGGCTGTCTTCTGCGTTGTTCTGGTAGAAGTTTAGCGACGTTTCAGAGGTCCTTGCTGCCTCCATCATCAGGGCGATGAGCAACAAGGACCTTAGGAACGTTGGTAAACTTCTACGAAAACAAGACAGAAGCCAGCCATCTCCAAAGATAACCCTGTTACTTGTTTGAAATTTCAAACCTTGGCCGCCCTGTACTCACCGACAGCAGGGAAGACGACTGTGGAAGAGTAACTTCCAGGATGTCTCTGCAACACGAACTGAAATGACGCCGTGACGAACGTGTCGTTTGGGCAGCATTTGTCCTTGGCGACCTCCTTGTAGGACCTCATAGACGCCAGTTTCCATTCCCGATTTAAGTTGTAACCATTCAGTACAATCTGGCCACAAGAGAAATGTAACATTCTCCATTTACATTTCAAAGATAACGTTTTATTGTCACAAAAATGTATATTTCCGCTGCGCTGGCGTCAATGCCGTTGCCATTGGGGATGGAGCATTCATATTAACCATTTTAGCCCGGCTATAATTTTGAGAAACAGAACATAAATTCTCCTGCAAATATCATACTCTCTAGCACTCCATACCGTAGTACACAGCAGGGCAGATCAGATAAACTGCTTGTTAACCAGCTCCTCTCTCCTCGAACGTAAGCCTCTTCTAGCTGGCTAACACCACCTCGCTGGCTCTTACTCGCTAACGACACATTTATCTGATTGGTTCCGTTGTGTTCCATTGTATGGAGTACCACGGAAGCATGAATGTGAGTCTTAAGAAGTTTTATTTTTTAAAGTTTAAACCAGACTAACACGGTCAACACGAATACTTCGCCCTTGGACGCCATTCGTTTCGAACAGTTTGATGGTTGGTGTTTATTATAACCGTCTACACTATTTTATAAGAAATTGTTTTTGGACATGTAAATATATCGCTTTTCGCCCCCTGTCATCGGGTATCTTCTATTTTCATCTTACTTAATTGACTTTGCTGATGCAGTCGAAGCATGAACTTATTGTGAGATTTGAGGCTTTTACGACATTGAGGTTGTTAATGATGATCTTGAGTTCTGTCGCCGACGGTAGATGCCAACGACAGTGTGTTTCTCCGAAATGATGGCGTCTACCGACTGGTCTACACGGCCAAATACCAGATCATCATCATCAAGTTATTAGTGAATTGACGGGACGAGAACATCCCTCGTAAAAGTCGAACATTGAGAGAAAAAAAAACATTTGGGCCATCTTTAAACTTAAGTTGTCTTTTAAGTTTATTCTTATTCTATAACATTATAATTATTCGTTTTAAAACTATAAATTTACGTAAACTAAAATAAATCAATAGATTTTATTTACCAAAAATTTCGAAGTTAAGAACTATGCTGGGTGGATATGTAATATTGACCTATTTTAAAATAATTGTTAAATTTGGGCCATTTCGTATAATTTTATGTGTGTTAAATATTTATAGCGATAATAACTGTTTAAAAATTTAATACTCCGTTCCTAAAGTCAGCCATCTCGCTATTTACATCTGTCCGTGATTGTTCGGTCTTATTATTTTCTGTAATATCATAAACAATTCACCTTAAAAACGAGACATTTTTCGTTCGACGTAGTGAAAATTTATCAGAGTACACGGAAAGATAAATTCTGACATAGACCTTTGACCGACTCTGTACGTGGCAGCAGACAATCGGCCTGGATTCTGAACTCTGATGTAGATTTTTTTTTCGGTTGTGTTCTTACACCTGGTTCCAACTGCGAGATGTTCAGCTGTTCGCCTGTGTGAGTCCAGGAACCTATCGTCATCGTGCATGTGTGGGTGTCGTACGGCCAGCGAGTCAGATCAGCAGAGCAGGACACCACGTGATTGTAAGGTGGCACGCACATTACAGCACCATTTGAGTACAATATACAGAGGAACGCCTGGGTAAAAGACAACGCTTTCACCATATCGTATCTGAAAACAAAAACACTTTTTACTGAGAGACTCTTAAATGTATTCACTTGGTAGAAGATCGGCCCAACAGCCGACTAACCATCTAATCACGTGGAGTTCGGACCTTCTTTAGAAGCTGATAGTCGCTCAGATATTAAAGATATTTTACGTCTTTCATCGAACACAAAGGTTCATGACTTTACCTACAAGAGCTGGAGGCGATGCTTTCCCATTTCGTGGGCGTACAGTATGATGTTTGGACGAAGACGGTAGTGCAGGAGAGACGGCGAAAGGTCGTTACGGACAGTTGAGTTCTTATCTTAGTCTGTCGTCGCGACGTAACGTGAAGAATCTGAAGACAAACCCCGGGACGTCTTACGACACGTTTCTGGCAAACCGACAGCGAGTGTTGAGACGACAAAAGTCAGCTTAATTTTACGTAACGTAACCGAACCAAACCTACCCTATGAAAAGAAACAGTACAAACTTTAACCCAGCTTACCTTAACCTAACTTAATGTAACCTAACCTCACCCAATCAAACCTAACCTAGCAAAACCGAATCCAGCACAGCCTAGCTTGGTCCTGCAGGAAGTTGTCTGTGAAGACGGTAGAAATAATATGGCATGGCGTTATATCGGATCTGATTATAATGTTCAACGGTACGTTTATGTTGATATTGATGTTGACGGATGGCGGTAAACGGGGGCTGGCGTTTACTGGGGAATTCCCTTTGAAAGTACATGGAATGAATATTATTTTGAGCCTAGATCGCAAACCGTAATAAATGGTACTGAATTGAGAAGAGGACGTTTCTCGTCAAGAGATATAGCCAAAACATTATTAGTGTTGATGCCAAAGATACTCACGTACTAAAGTCTGCGAAGTCAGGCTTCCAGAGGAGGTTACTGGGCATGCGTATTTCGCGAATATTGTCGAACTTTGATGGATCCCAGGAATACCGACAGTCTTTCCAATACTATGGATGAAGAAAGATAATATTATTTATAATCAAAATGTACTCTGAGCTCGGAAAGGAAGCAACGGAAGGGTCGAGCATTTCGGAAAGGAAAATAAAACTGTAACTTACAAAGGAGGCGTTTTTGGGCTCATGTTTATATGGAATTTTGTAGAACTCATTCCTACATTTGTTTGAGAACTTTTGTACATTTTATTATCATAATTTTTTAAAGTTAATTTTACCAAGCGGACATAAATTACCACAGATACGAAAATATAATTTAAACAATTTTACGAGTATTTTTTTTGTAAAACGTGTCAATTAGTAGCCCATCGAGCAGAATATCAGGGTAGAGAACATAAATTTCTAGCAATGCAATTCAAATACAAAGTATTTATACGCTATCGACCAAACTTCGTCTTTAGCACTGACAACGTTTGGACATAAAATTAACTATTGAAACAGGATCATCAACTATACTTTTAATGGTGTTACAGGCAGAAAGTGACATAACGAGACGATTCATAATTTGTGCTCAACAGCACATTTTATCCGAATGACCAAATCAAGGATGATGAAACGCGTGAAACATATAACACAATTTTGAGAATGAGAGGGTATACAAAATTTTGGCCGGAAGCTTGAAACAAAGAGATCACCTGGAAGATATAAGCGGATAAAATAAACAGGGATTGGACTAGCTCAGCGTAGGATTTAGTGGCAGACACTTCTTACATAGTAAGATCACCCTGATGGTGGAGGTAACAGGGACCCCCTGAAACGTTGGTAAACTTCTACCAGACTATACGGCGCTACAACTCAAAAGACAGCCAACTTGTGACATATTTCGTTGGTTGGTTAGTGAAATGAACTGTATAGGCCCTTAAGCAACCAATTCTATTCAACAAATTCCGTTTCTTGAAGCTAAAAATCGCTGAGCACCACCTTTTATGAAACCAGAAGATTTATTGCCATGTTCACAAGAGCTCGCCACAGGTCCCTCTCCTCTTTGATGTAAATCCATTTCACATCATCACACCCTATTTCTTTAAGAACCATTTTAATTTTATCCTCTTATCTACTAGTACTACTAGGTCTTACAGATAGCCTTTTTACCTTAAGTGTTGTATGAAGCTAATAAGAGTGATATTTCTGGTCAATTGATATAGTCAGGATTTACGGACATTTCATAAATACGTGCGATGAAATATTTGTATCTCTGCTGTGGAAAATATTCTTGACTCCAAATAGAAAGAATAGATTTATTGCTCTCATAATTTAATGTTTTACTCCCTGCCTGGATAAATTCTGCCGATATTGAATCAGTATGTGACGATATATGCCTTTCCAAATTTTCAGTAGCAATTATAACCTCACAAATCTAGGCTTAGTTACAAATGGCTCCGCTGTACTAAATTTCATTAAAATTTGTCCATTGTATTGGCATTGACAACATATCGACCAATAATATGAAATCTCACAAAACCATGTATCGTAGTTCTATGTTGTCTTACATTGACTTCAAACTCTGCATATTTCATGTTCAATAAGGGCTATGTAATTATCGTAGTAACTCGCTGGTCTTGTATTTCGGATTCAAGGTAAAGCTGTCGGTTGTCATAAACGTGGTTTTACTTAATTGTCCTTAATTTTTAGGTGAATAGTATGATAATTTCGGAAAAGAGACGAAAACCTCCTCCTTCTAAATCCTTAACGTGCTCACTATTTAGTAAAATGAACAACAATACTACGATAAGAAAATTAAAGCAATGCAGAAAATTGTACCTTTGTATGTTACTTACCATGACGAACCAACTGTGAATTTCAAGTTTGTCTTCTTTAACATCCTGTAACGGTAAAAATATCTAACTTTAATTCTGGATGATTTGTCGTTGAACTCACTTTAGTTAAGTATGCTATTCATGAACAAAAATACAAGACTTAATACTTTCATTGGTGGATTCAGCTAATCCTACTTCCATTTTGATGTCACTTCTGACTGTCCCTGATTCTAATGAGAAATGATTGGCGTCGATGTTTACAGTCCCGGGCGAGGAGGCAATGGGGAATTCTGACCATTACGTCAGAACCTGGAGTGCCCTTCTACTTAACCAGCGGTAACTATGTGTACCATATGCTTTAACAGTCGACAAGTCTTTATTTTGTATTTAGGGGTTCGTATGTTTCTCACTGTGAACAACAATTGTTTCCGTTGAGATTTACCCAGTTGATGTTTGTAATTGTGAAGTGTTGTGTTTTCTTTTAGGTAAGGACTAAATTTATAAAGATTATTTAGACGAGTTGAAGGTTAGTAACGCGGTAATTTTATGTATTTCGTGCAAAGGATGCGTAATACTCCAGTTGATCGGGAGAAACTATACTAAGAAGCACTCACGAAGTCGAATTTCTTCAGAACAAGACGAATTCTGACGTCTACAGAATTGTTGCCGTTCTGTTGAATGGGACGGTTGATAGTGTCGTACATGTACTGATTTCTCAATCGCGTCTCCATTGTTGTGGGCTTCGAGGTGGGGCACGTGATTTCGTCAGCATCAACCAGCTCGAACGACATCCAAACAACTGAAAAGAAACTGTTTTTGTTTATAATTTATTAAACAATTTCCTCTAAGTATAGTTGGTCTGCAGCAGAAGGTGCGTCGCCAATATTAAATCTTATCAATTTACTTAGAAATGAATCATAGTATAAACAATTGGTACTTAACTTAAATACAGACGGGCCTGCATCTACAGCTGAATGTTTAACGATCTTGTCTATCGTTATTTGAAGATCAAAGAACAAATGCAAATTTTTAAAATTAAGTAAAACTTAGGATTTGAGACTTTCGCGGCGAGTACAATCAATAAAATCTTCTCGGTCAACCAGCCGCGTCAACTGGTTACCGTAGAGTTGGTTCCCGAAACGTCGGTTTACTACGGTAACCAGCTGACGCGGCTTATTGCCCGAGAAGATTTTATTGAAAAGGCATCACGTTGATACTCACCAAGGATTATCAACAGTGCTGATTTGTTAAGCACAAACAAAAACCTGTCCATTGCTGAAGCCAGAACGAAATGAAACGATTTAGAAAGAGGCCGAATGTAGCCAGATAATTCATGTAACACAATCTCGTTCACGCCCACTTGATGTTCATGTCGACGTCGGTTTCTCTACTGGGTAGGCAACCAGCATGACCACGAGTCACTATGCTCAATAATGGGAAACCTTGGTCTTTGTTGTTGAACACGACTGAGTAAAATTGACGTATTGCATTTGTACAAGAACGGTCTAAAGAGAAAGGATGCATCGGATCACATTAATGCAAGAATGGGCCAAGGCCGAACAATTACCTGTCATTGATTTTGGAGTTCATATCGATGTTGGAGTCGTTCATGTAGATATCGATTCGTTTAATTGGTTTAGGTTTTTTAAATTGTTCTTCACATTGTTTTGTGTATTGCCTTTATCTGCATCAGAAATTGTCGCATCTAAATATTAAACACGCTTACAGTGGTTTATTGTAGTTCTGCTTTAACTGAAATTTATGAAATTGTTTAAGTTAGGGTGGTCCAAATTGTTTCCTCGCTGGGGCTGGAATAGTTTCCTGTTAGACCCAAGGGTCAAGAAACCCTTAACGTCACTATTTTTGCATTGTCATTATTCTTTAATAATACTTATTCAGAAATGACAAATTACCATTGCATGTTCTGAACTATAAATTTTATTTAAATGTGCACAAACTACTATAGAGTTGTATATTATTTTAAATTTTCTCCTACAACAGTTTGTATTTCTCGCAATTTTTACTGGTGAGAGCACCGAGCAGAATGTTCTTTTACCAGTGACGGAATATCAACTTCGAAAAAAAAATTGGGTTGTACTAACTAGTAACAAATTAACAAATACTTTTGCGGGCCGGGTTACAAGTGGTCGCGGGCCGCCAGTTGGATCACGCTGATTTAAGTAATAGATCTAGTCTTCCCAGTATATTGACAGATGCTTGAAAGCAAATGTGGTAGTTATCCGGAGATTTATTTTTTCCTGATAACCGACTGAAGATTATCCTTAATTTTTTCGCAATGGACGGAATGTTGGTTCTTCAACACTTTCAAAAAATTGAAAACGAAGATTTCTGTCTTCTGGGTTGTTGCGCTGTGTAGTCTGGTCAGAGGTCATACCGCCTCCGTCATCAGGGCGATGAATCGCAAAGTTTACTACGGGGG